ACGAGTGTATACCAAACCGGGCAAGCAGAAAATTCTACTTGACCGCAGCTGGGATTCGAACCCGCGACCTTCGTATTTCTAGAACGATGCTCTACCGCCAGCTCTAAAGCCAGCTATTAGTCTGGCAATGTTGTATGTGAATGTTGTGGTTTCCCACGTTTACGATTCCACTCGTATATATAAATATATATATATATATATATATATATATATATATATATATATATATATATATATATATATATATATATATATATATATATATATATATATATATATATATATACAACGTTTTTGTGTTGCATGCATACTACTGTCGTAATTAAGTTGTAGGGCTATCTGACACGGCACGATTCGTGTCGCAGGTATGGCGTCACCATATCGAATTGTCAATTCCATTTTGCCTTCATATTGTGCCCTGAAGGCTAGTAAGTACGTAAGTATGTCGGCGGCGTTAAAATTTCTTGTGGGCTCCTGCCGACACGTCTTTCTTCGAATTTTGTATGAAACTCTATTACATTTAAAAATTGTGAAATTTCAGATACATTTCTAACAAAAATTACTTACATCATTTGAAAGCTTGCAAAAAACAACACTAAGACATTTAAACAGTTACCAGGGTTTCCCAAGTTCTTCTTGAGTTATGAGCTGTTGAAAACATGTTTTCAGACTAGTACCCAGGACTTTTGCGAGATTTTGGTTTATTTTTCACCTTTGGGACAGCAATAACTCGAAAACCACTTGAAAAACCGAGCTAATTTTTGTAAGCTCTCTTTTCTGTAAGATTTGTATTAGAAATATATCTAAAATTTCTCATTTTTTAACTGTAATAGAGTTTGATACAAAATTCGAAGAAAAACACGTCGGCAAGAGTCAACAAGGTATTTTATTTAACGCCGCCGACATACAGAAATGTACTTACTAGACTTCAGGGCACAAGACTAAAGAAAAATGGAACTCTCCCTTGATATGGTGAGTTTCCCCCCCCCCTTCTATCCGCCTGACTACTTCAACCGTATCGTAATGTATCGTAGCATTTTCATTTGTGTCGAAGTCATTAGTTCCAATTTTGTGCTCAAAAAACAGAGAACATTATGGGCGTTCATTACCGTTTTGCTTACGAATTATTGAGTTTTTGAGAAATTCTTATAAAACCTTATTCCTGCAGGTAAGAAACTAATCGAGAATATATTGTCAGAGCATAAAGCCATATCCTTCTTGGTCTGTGCTCTACATTGTCAACGATACGTTAATGAATTTTGTGCGGGCTTTAACTACAAATCATCCATGATTGATAATGAGGTAAACTGTCAATTAACCGTTGCCCAGCAACAGCGTGATGGCGTCATCGAGGCAAAAACAAATAACAACTGGGCATTTTACCAACGACAATACATCAAGGTAAAATTTAACTCATCGTTTCGGCAGGATGAAGTCCTAGGACAGGATAAAGTTTGATCAAGTCCTAGGACTGGATGAAGTTTGATCAAGTCCTAGGACTTGATGAACTTTGATCAAGTCCTAAGACTGGATGAAGTTTGATCAAGTCCTAGGACTGGATGAAGTTTGATCAAGTCCTAGGACTGGATGAAGTTTGATCAAGTCCTAGGACTTGATGAACTTTGATCAAATCCTAAGACTGGATGAAGTTTGATCAAGTCCTAGGACTGGATGAAGTTTGATCAAGTCCTAGGACTGGATGAAGTTTTGATCAAGTCCTAGGACTGGATGAACTTTGATCAAGTCCTAAGACTGGATGAAGTTTGATCAAGTCCTAGGACTGATGAAGTTTGATCAAGTCCTAGGACTGGATGAAGTTTGATCAAGTCCTAGGACTGGATGAACTTTGATCAAGTCCTAAGACTGGATGAAGTTTGATCAAGTCCTAGGACTGGATGAAGTTTGATCAAGTCCTAGGACTGGATGAAGTTTGATCAAGTCCTAGGACTTGATGAACTTTGATCAAGTCCTAAGACTGGATGAAGTTTGATCAAGTCCTAGGACTGGATGAAGTTTGATCAAGTCCTAGGACTGGATGAAGTTTGATCAAGTCCTAGGACTGGATGAACTTTGATCAAGTCCTAAGACTGGATGAAGTTTGATCAAGTCCTAGGACTGGACGAAGTTTTGATCAAGTCCTAGGACTGGATGAAGTTCGATCAAGTCCTAGGACTGGATGAAGTTTAGATCAAGTCCTAGGACTGGATGAAGTTTGATCAAGTCCTAGGACTGGATGAAGTTTGATCAAGTCCTAGGACTGGATGAAGTTTAGATCAAGTCCTAGGACTGGATGAAATTTAATCAAGTCCTAGGACTGGATGAAGTTTGATCAAGTCCTAGGACTGGATGAAGTTTGATCAAGTCCTAGGACTGGATGAAGTTTGATCAAGTCCTAGGACTGGACGAAGTTTAATCAAGTCCTAGGACTGGATGAAGTTTGATATAGACTACAGATGAAATTTAGATTAAATATTAGCAAAAGTTTGTTTTGCTTTGCCGGGCAGAGTGCACTGAATGCTTAGCCCATTGTATAATTTATGCATGATACATAACTTAATTAATTTTCTGGCGTATAGTCTATCAAGGTATGATGGTTTGGAAACTAAACAGCAGTCATTGTGTCATGTTTTTGTCGGAGTTTATGTTAATTTGTGCACGGTCACGGTGATTGAGTTCATTGTATTTTCGTATAATGAAGTAATCGTCCAATAGGAATAGCTGAGATGAAACGTGCAACCACGATGAATAATATTTAATGAAGTTGAGACAAACTATTTGTGCAGGGTGAGGTACAGTTCAACATCAAACAAAGCTCTTCTATTTTGTAGCTTTGAAGTTTGTCGAGCTTCCATGCAGACCATCGTATCTTGACAGACTGTGGCTGGCCGAGGTATGCAGTGTCAAACTGCCATCTAGTTTTTAATATGTTTCTCATGTCAGTTATATGCTTTTCCAGGACCCTTGCTCTCCCTCGCCATGTGTCCATGGCACATGCGTGGTTAACACGGACAGGAGAAATGTGACGTGTAAATGTTTTGAAAAGTACGAAGGAAAAGCTTGCGAAACAAGGATTTACGGTAAGCCAGGGATTTCAAAACAAGCTGGCAGCTGGCGGTGCTACGAGATTTGCCACAGGTTACTTTCTGTGATATATAAAATGACAGGACTATAAATCTGTAGTGGATCTCTTCACATTTTAAAACAACGGCAAGAAAGTAGTGAGAGTTAGTGAGTTACATAGGGGGTTTGGGACCCGAAACAAGCCACAATTGAAAAGAAACAGCAATGCAATTTTTCGCTTCAAAATGTTTGCTCTTTTCTGAACCGCATTTATCGTTCACCTTTTCAAGAAGAACTTCAATTAGTCATTGTTGAATAGGTTTAGCTAGCTACAATCTTGGACATAACTGGTTGAGACTATTTTCCCCCTATAGAAAATTCGCGTATTTTTATGATAAACTCCATGTTGAATCATGTTGCCATTCTTAAACTCCCGCTCTCCCAACTCAATGTTGAGCTTGTATCATGGTATATTACCAAAAGTTGTTTCGGCGTTGTTCACAACATTGACCTGGGGGGAGGGGGAGACAAAGTATGTTTTGTCAAAAGTTTGACAAAGCTTGTTTTGCCTATATGAAAATAGCTGTGTAGACAACGTTTAGTACGTCTATGATTCCATTTCTTTTTAAACTCTGTAGCTATGTTCTATAGCAGTAGCTAATTGGTTCAAATGGAGCAGGGAACGTTCGCACGTTTGAGTGAATAGCCGTTTTCTGAGCAAACCATGTTATCAAGTTTGACCAATTCGGTTACTTTTAGTGTTGGATATGTTTTTACATTCACTATACGAAGCTTTCAATGATCATATGGAATAAGGTAGAAATCAAGTTTACCAAAAGTCCAATAAATAATTTACTTTCATCCAGACGTATATTATGTCCTCCTGATTAATTTCCCTTTATTTACAATATAAATATAGATTTTGCATCGCCTGGAATGATTGCTAATATGGATAAAAATTTCGGTTACCTACAGTACTTGCAGTGTAACATATATTTAATAATTTTTCCTCCATCGCAACACTAACCTATCTGCCTTTCTAACCATAACTCTCAAAATATTGGTATGCTTGTAAAATTCCCACATTCAGACAATCTTGGACATAACTGGTTGAGACTATTTTCCCCCTATAGAAAATTCGCGTATTTTTATGATAAACTCCATGTTGAATCATGTTGCCATTCTTAAACTCCCGCTCTCCCAACTCAATGTTGAGCTTGTATCATGGTATATTACCAAAAGTTGTTTCGGCGTTGTTCACAACATTGACATGGGGGGAGAGGGAGACAAAGTTTGTTTTGTCAATGTTCAATAACTTTGTAATATTAGCTGGAATGGTCTCAAGGGTTTTGTCCAAGATTGTAGCACAATCTTGAATTGAGTTTTTCAACACAATCATGTAATGGAAAGTGCAGTAAAATTGAAGTTGTTTTGGTTGAATTTGCGATGTGAAAAACCATGAACAAGAACACACATATGTCATTGCAGTCCGGTCCATTTAAATCAAAGGCATATAAAGGCTAAAATTGTGAATCTGAGGGGAAGGG